AAACATGTTAAATGCTCCAGAATGAATAATATTTGGCATAAAACTGAGCAGTTCGACAGAGTTATGAAGAGGATATGGTAAACAAATACCATTCTCCTATCCTTGTCTTGGGGGCTTATATTAGAGAAAACGGAGTGTAGCACAGGGCTAACTATGATATGCACTCATACTCCACCATAAACATGAAACAAAAAAGTTATTTTCTCTCTATAGATTATCACACATAGCAGCATATGTGTAGAGAACCTAGGATAACTCCAAAAAAAAGTCAACGTGGCTTATTTTTAGTACCTGGCTTGGGTTAGCCATATATGAGTTTTGGTAAATATTCGATTCTCAGCCAGGGTAGAAACATTAAGCGTGTTTTTTTACACCTGTTGTCTATGTTTACCCATCAGTAAATGGGTACCTGGGTGTTAGTCGACTAGTGTGGGTGTTATCCTGGGACACTGACCTAATTTTCTTGAAATACTCAGCTTAACAAGTGCCTTTCTATACAGTAGTATGTCACTGATGTCAGCTAGGCCTGTATACCTTGTACATGTATGTGTAGTAAATAAAGATATTATTATTATTATTATATTATTATTTTCTCAGTTGTTTGTTGGGTTCTCTTATTGAAACTTGGGCAATGTATGATGGAAAGATACTTCTTCACGTACACCAAAAATGAAAGAAATCAGACCATAAATAGCGGAGTTCGCTTCTCAGCCATTAGCGGCCGCTTAGCGGAATTTTTTTGTATGGTTGCTATGGTTATATTCTCATTTTTTCAGTCTCATTTGAGAGAATGAAATATATATTACAGAAATAGATATGATTTTGATTGCTTTCATGACGAAAAGTACCTTGAAATTGTGCTCACAGTAGCAAAAATGTTCTATTCTTTAGCTAAGCTCAAGAGTAAACAAATGACATCACCGTCCAATACCTGTCCGCCTGCCAGTCTAAATTCCAATACGGAGTCAAGAATGGATTGACATTATTTATACAATTATTACAATAATGCAGTAGTCTGCATAACAGTAAATCTTCTACTTTTTGTGAATAAAAATTTCAAATGGTAAGCAAAAGTAATATAAGAGGGACCTGTAGCCATGACTAATGAACAGAAAAATGTTATTTTAGTGCCAGGAATGTCTGCATTGTTTATTCTGGACCCTATTTTGAAATTGGCATCTGTTGAAATTTGTGTGAAATCGGCCAAATTGTCAATTTCTGACCACTTTATTGGGTAGTTGAAGTAAGTGAATGGGCAGTTACTTGTACTCAGTTGACAGACTAGAAGTAAATAAGTTTATTCAGGTATACACAAATACAGTTACATAGATTATCATACATAGCAGTGTATGTATAGAGAACCTGGGATAACCCAGAAAAGTCAGACAAAGTAACTTATTTCCCGTACCTTGCTTGGGCTTGCCATATATGATTTTTGGTAAATATTTTTTTTTTCTCGGTTGTTTGTTGGGCTATCTCATTGAAACTTGAGCAATGTATGATGGAAAGATGCTTCTTAACATACAACAAAAATAAAAAAGACGGACGATAAATAAGGGAGTTCACTTCTCAGCCATTAGCCGCCTCTTCGCAGTATATTTTCATATGGTTTTTATGGTTGTATTCTCATTTTTTGGACTCATTTGATAGAATGGAAGATATATTACAGAAATACGTAGACATGATTTTGATTGTTTTCATGACAAAAAGTACCTTGAAATTGAGCTCAAAGTAGCCCTTTAATGGTGGGGCTATTTGAAACTCAGGCAACAAGTTTAACTGCGCTTCTACAGTCATACCCTGATATTTTTTCGGATGTGCCGAAAAAATGTATGTTAGGTTATCATGATGTAGATGTGGGAAACTCTAAACCTATTAAACTCCTCCCCTACAGAGCTAATCCTGAAAAGCAGAAGCTACTTCAGCAGGAGGTAGAATTTCTGTTGGAGCATGGGTTAGTGGAGGAGTCATCTAGTCCATGGGCTTCACCGTGTGTGTACAGACTACCGTAAGGTGAATGAGATCAAAATCACAGATGCTTACCTTCTTCCTCGTCTGGATGATGGAATCGACTTTGTGGGTAAGGCTACTTTTGTGTCCAAGTTAGATCTTCTTAAAGGTTACTATCAGGTACCTCTGACGGATAAGGCGAAGGAAATCTCTGCCTTCATAATTCCAGGAGGTCATTATCAATACACAGTTACCCCCTTCGGAATGAAAAACTCCCCCTCTTCATTCCAGAAACTTATCCATCAGGCTATTAACCCGTAAACGGTCCAAACGTATATATACGTTTTTTCAACATTTGAAAGTATGTAAAAAACAAGTAGATCTTCTTTTTGTTTTTTTACATTTGAAAATGTGTAAAAAAAACTTTTATCTACTTTTTTTTTTGTTATATTTGAAAATATGTAAAAAAAAAACGTAGATCTACTTTTGTAGCACTACACATGTGAACGTAGATCTGCTTGGACCGTTTACGGGTTAAAGGACTTAAGGCCAGGCCACTGTTACTTTTCTAGGCCATGTAGTGGTAAAGTTGCTCCTAAATTTGCTAAAATTCTTGCCATTAAAGATTATCCAGTTCCACATGATAGGAAATTTCTTAAACGTTTCCTAGGCATGATAGGATTTTACAGAAGATTCTGTAAGAATTTTTCAGATGTTGTAGCGCCTCTTACCTCTCTTACCAGTCACAAAGTTCCCTTTATTTGGACTTCAGTTTCTCAAGGTGCTTTTGATAAAGCAAAAAGATTATTGTGTACTGCACCAATTCTTTTGTCTCCAGACTTCTCCAAACCTTTCTCATTACAGGTTGATGCTTGTGAGTCTGGGGTTGGGGCAGTACTGTTGCAAAACAGGGATGAGGAGTTGCAGCCTGTAGCCTTTTTCTCTGCCAAGTTCCAGCCACATCAGATGGCTTACTCTACCATTGAAAAAGAAGCCCTCGTGCTGGTACTGGCTTTGTAGTACTTTGATGTTTACGTGGGCCAGACTTCGCAGGTGGTCACTGTCTATAGCGACCACAAACCTCTAGTATATCTCCAAGCCATGAAGAACCACAATACGAGGCTCATGAGATGGAGTCTACGACTGCAACCCTATTCTATCAAAATTTTACATATTGCCGGCAAAGAAAATATGTTGGCAGACTTTTTATCTAGAGTCTAACAATATTATTATACATTATAATTATAATTATATATTAGGTTAGGATGTGTTAGGTTACTTGTGGTAACCCCTTCCAAGCTCGTTTTTTATCCCCTGGTGTGGGGTTTTTTTTTAGTGAGGGGATGCGGGCTACTGTTCACCTGTGTCTTGGACCTATGTTAAGCCCGACTGTCTGCTGTCTCACTCTGAGTTTAGGGTTTAGCTTTTTGTCACGAGAAAAGTTGAGCTCTATCTAAGAGTTGGATGGTTGAGAGGAAAGGCGGTCCCATTATTTTGTGCCATGGCGGCACGGTTACCACTGGGAGGTGAGAGACTAATCCTGAGCCCTCTCTGGGTGGGTGTGGCATGCAAAGAGTACGTAACCTTTATTTGGCACATGTACACACCCTCATTTACAGGCTATCTCCCCAAACCAGTGAACCAGGGAACTAAGGGTTGGTGATGGGGTCCCATCGTTTAACCAGTACCCAGGTTCCAGCCAATGAGAAGATGGTTTTGGCAATTGCAGAGGTTATGTAGGTACCGCTCTCCTGTCTGCCCTTGTCATTCCCATTCTAGAGCTGGTTGAAGCACGGTCTGCTCTCTAGTGGCTTCTATTCTGCCTTGCTTACAGTGAAGTGCACTAATACCTATTGTTGTACATAGTGTACAGAGTGTATATACTTCTGTTCTAAATTGGTGAAGGATATGTCAAAAGTTTTTCTGCTGTGTTTACTTTACTCCCTTTACACCCAGGATAACAGGCCTTTGGGACTCCTGGGTTGTAATAGTGTGCAAAGTGGGTTGAAGTGCAAACCTTTATGGATTAAAAATCACCCTAACACAGCTATTACAAGCCGTGCTGGTGACTATTACAATGACAATGTTGTGGCCCATTTTAGGCAAATCTTAAAGGAACGGGAGGTACAGACCTCTATGCACAGATCTGTTGTGCAACAGAGGTCCAGTGACTCAAGCTGGTCCTAGTGGCATTAAAAGAAGAAGGGAAGTAACCCTGGAAAAGGACTTGCTACCTCAAGCCCAAATGGAAGGGGATTCCCCTTCTAAACAATAACTTCCACACTCTCCCCTCCTCCCATCCCATCAATCATCACCAGATCTTCAATAAAGGTAAGTGTCATGTATTCTATTCTTAGTAGAGTAGTAATTGTGCATGTCTTCTTCAGTTTGTGTTTATTAAAATTAATATGTCATGTGGTAAAATTTGTTTTTTTTCACACTTTGGGGTATCTTGCACGGATTAATTTGATTTACATTATTTCTTATGGGGAAAATTAATTCGCCTTACGATAATTTCGGTTTACGATAAGTTCTCAGGAACGGATTAATATCGTAAGGCAGGGGTCCACTGTACTAGTACTCACCTCCAGGACTCTAGTCCTACTAACCAGTATCACTGAATTCCTTTATGTTACCTTGCTTGCCCTCCTACAACAAGTAATGCCATAAATAACTCATATATTATGCTCACACACACATCTGCTGGATGTTGAAGCCTTTTCCAGTCAAAACCTCCTTCAACCCCATCCCACCAACCTTTCCTGAGATGACCCCTACTATTCCTTCCTTCTATGGAAGATTTAAACACCTTATTCGTCATCTTATTTAATTCCAACCTCTAAATGCACAACACTACCTCAGCAACACCAACTTGGCTCTCTGAATTATACCTTTGTGTTGGTGCAGGAATTTCTGGAGGAGAGAGTATACTGTAAGAGTGGTAGTGTAATAAAGTACCTGGAGAGTGTGGTGGTATAGTACAAGTAGTAGTGTAATAAAGTACCTGGAGAGTGTGGTGGTACAGTACAAGTAGTAGTGTAATAAAGTACCTGGAGAGTGTGGGCGTGGGTGGGTGGTGGTTGGTGCTGGAGAACGTGGAGATACAGTTGGCCATCTTGTAAAGTTATCCTGGAGTAGCGGAGGTCATCTTGGTCTTGCTGGACACCCAACACCAGGCCAGCCTTCACCAGCCTCTTGACACTCTCACTCATCCCACGAAGATGATCAACCTGTGGACAGTTACAACCATTATCACCTGTGTACAGTGTCACCACCATTATCACCAGTGTACAGTGTCACCACAATTATCACCTGTGTACAGTGTCACCACCATTATCACCTGTGTACAGTGCTGCCACCATTATCACCCATTTAGAGTGTCAGCACCATTATCACAAGTGTACAGTGTTATGATAATGATAATGTTCACTTCAGCATGATAGTGTCTGTACAAAGGAGAATGACATTTGGATGCACATGCCAAAAGCCCCTATATATGCAGACAATTTTGGGCAAACTTTAGATTAATAAGGCAATAACAATAAAGTGTAAATTTAGAAGTTTAAAATGAATAACAGATAACTGAATATAGTGGAACTTTGACTTACGAGTGTCCCAACATATGAGTCATCACTCAGTCAAATTTTTGCTCTGAGTTATGAGCCAACATCTGAGTTATGAGTGAGTTTCCCCCAATACCCACAACCTACACACCTCACTTGTTTATCTATGATTTCACTCTTTAATTCCAGGGAAATCATCCTCTTTTTCTTCTCAGCACTGTCCTTTGCACTTAGAGTGGGCCCCCGGATTACGACGTCATCGGATTACATAAAAATCGGATTAACGTTTTTGCATCAAAATATTGGCTCGGTTAACAAAAAAAAACTAGGTTAAAGTTATTCATCCCGAATGTGTCAGCGCAGCGTGAGCAGCCAGGGCACTCCAAGTACAACCAGTGAGGACGATTCCATGCGTACATGCGATACATTTTGTATTATTTCACTGTTTTTAGTGCTTGTAACTGCTAAATAAGCTACCATAGGCCCAAAGAAAGCTTCTAGTGCCAGCTCTGTGGTAAAGAGGGCGAGAAACACAATAGCATTCAAGAAAAAGTTTGTAGGAAGATATGAAAGTGGTGGTGGTTGAGGGTACTTCTAGGGCACTTCCCCACAAACCAGCCAGGGTACTTCCCCACACATCAGCCAGGGTACAGTAGGGCCCCACTTATATGGCAGGTTAGGTTCCAGGCTACCGCTGTAAAGCGCAAACTTCTGTAAAGTGGAACACCCTTTTTTTCCACTTATAAATGCATATAAATGCTAGATAATGTATTTACATTGACATATATTAAATTAGCAATAGAACTAGGCATTAAAAAAAACAATAAAAAGTAAAATACACATGCAGTACATTTATTGCTTACCTTACAATACTTAATATGAATGTGTGAGAGGTGAGTGGCTAGCTGTTGATGTTGAAGGCTGTTCAAAGTTTTAACTTGCAGTCACCAGCTGCATTAGCTCCTAGCAAGAATGTTAGCCTGTCTTTTGCAGCTTTGAAGCCAGGCATTGACTTCTCTTCCTTAGCATTAAATGTCCTAGATGGCATCTTCTTCCAAAATAATGCAGTCTCATCCACATTAAAAATATGTTGCTTGGTATATCCACCATATTCTATTATCTCGGCTAGCTCACGTGGATAATTTTCTGCAGCTAAACTGTCAGCGCTTGCAGCTTCACCCTGAACTCTGATGTTGTGAAGTTGACTTCTTTCCTTAAACCTATTAAACCAGCCTCTGCTCTGAATTTATCTTCAGCAGCTTCCTCCCCTCTCTCAGCCTACATAAAATTGAAGAGACTTAGGGCCTTGGACTGGATAATGGCTCTGCTTAAAGGCACATTGTGACTAGTATGATCATCAATCCACACCATTAAAGCTTTTCCATGTCAGCAATAAGGTTATCACATTTTCTTATAACTTTAGTGGTCACTGGTGTAGCACTTTTAATTTCCTGCAACACTTTCTCCTTATTAATCACAACTGTACTAACTGCTTGATGAGCCAAACCAAGCTTACGTACTATCTCAGCCATTGACATACCTTGTTCACTAAGTTTAATCATTTCTAACTTGGCACTTGAAGTAAGAGGCTTACGACTCCTCTTTTTATCACAACTAAGCTTAGATGCCATCGTCAACGAAAGCCAATTAGTTAACAAAGAGTAAACAAGAGAGAACGAGATACACGGAGCTCAGACAGTGTAAAAACACAAACTGAACGGGTGGTGGGCGATCACTCAGTCATGCGAAACAGACGGTATTAATACGTGTCCAGTTTTAGTTCATTCACGTACGTTTGTAAGAGTTTGTGGAACTTTTACCTTACAATATTTTTTTTATTATAATAATTAAATCACAAAACAAATACTCTTACATTGTGTACAAGTTGAACATGTTAGTACAGAATAATAAACAGCAACACTCCCATTCTCATGCAACACACCATTTTTAGACTGAATGATGATATTATTATTATATTATTATTATCATAATAAAAAAGAAGTGCTAAACCCACAAGGGTCTTGAGTAGCTATAGAGTGAAGGCATACGTAAAGAATATTTTTCTACAGTTATCCCCTAGTAACAGGTAATGGACTAGAGAAAACGTAATTCTTCTGACACTCCTACAAGCCATTTGGTAAACATCTTGTATTTATATAAATTTTTATACTGTGGGTGCATGTATCATGTTTGTGTGTTACATAATGTGTTTCTTATATAATTTTGAAAAAAATATCATAGACAGATTAAGGGAAATTTCTATATTAACGTAATATGCAACATTTAATGCGCCCAAGAGATTATTATGGCATCAAGAGTAGAGAGACTCTTAGTGATTTTAATATGTACCTGCATGCCAGCACCGTGTGTAAGTATATTTAGGTACAGGTACACACAAGTTTAATTATCAAAGTACAGTACATATAAAATATGCAATAACCTTAAAACACTTGAAATTTTGGAAAGTTTCCAGACATAAAAGAGAGATGTGCTCAGGGAGAATGTAAACAAACTTGGTGGGCCACGGTGACCGTATTAGAAAGACAGTGGGGGGAGCTGTATAGCGAGTTTTGGTCATAATTTGAAATGTCCGTATTAGTGGAACACCGTAAAGCGAAACGCCGTAAAGCGGGGCCCTACTGTACTTCCTCACAAACCAGCCAGGGTACTTCCTCGCACACCAGCCAGAGTATTTTCTCATAAACCAGCCAGGGTACTTCCCCACATACCAGCCAGGGTACTTCCCCACAAACCAGCCAGGGTACTTCCTCACAAACCAGCCAGTGTACTTCCCCACAATAATCTTCCTGGCCTGCTAGTGTACCTCGCATATAATCTAGTGATACCAGTGAATAGGAGAATACAGTGTTGTAGTAGCAACTAACCACTAATATAATAGTACTTAGTGGAGTGACTTTCATTATTTTTTCTCCATTCTTGAAATACCAGACATATACAGTGAAATTCATATAACCTGTAGTTACCAGCGGTCGCAATATACACAACGAAAAGCAAATATCACTCCAGAAAAAGCGTCTTTCCTCCAATAATTTCACCAATCAACTATAGTGATAATATAGCATTTGTTGTGGTGGAGACGAAAAAACCTAAAAAAGCTAGATACAGTGATCGATAATCCTTCAGGCCGTAAATAAACGTCTCGGCCGTTCATCATTGTAGGAGCTGCCAGCAATCATCGGTTCTTCAACACGCAAGTTATACTTTTGTATCAATCTAATCAATATTACTCGGTTAAATAACTTCCAGTAATTCCTTCATGTGTTAGCCCAAATCATCGACCAGATATGTTTTAAATAAGTGACCCACTGATCAGATCTGACTGGTTCCGAACCCTTGGCTGATCCAAACCCCTGATCGGTTTCAAACAGATTCATTGGACAATAAAGCAGAATGTAAACAGACGGGGCTAAAGGTGTCCTTATCAAACACAAACAATAAATACAAAACAGGAACGTACACCGGTAAGCTGTCCTAATATACAAGTAGAGTTAGAAATAGAAATACAAATGGCCAGATCTTCACTTTAAAGAGGTTATTCGTAGAATATTCAAGGGGTTACTAGTAGAATTACAATAAATCAACCATTCAAATCACATTATGAAGCTCTGTGTAGCCTGCAATCAAACAAACGGGCTTCCATATGGATTACTTGCCATTTTTGTGAAAATTGGTGTCACGCCCCTTGTGCAGATATCCAAGAACTATCTACAAGCAGTATTAAATCAGGGAAGTGTTTTTGGGTATGCCCAAATGAGATAAATCTGTGGATTAAAATCACATTGGTATTAAAAGAGGGTAACATCAAAGCAGCCTTCATAGAAAACCTGGAAGCATTCTATAACAGATGGGAAAATAAAAAGTCTGGGCTGGATGGTATTGCCCTTGGTGCTGGCCATGTAGTCAGAAACTGTAAGGCTGGAGGTGCTGTCCTGGGAGACAGTAATGGTGAGGATGGAAGTGCTGTCCTGGGAGACAGTAATCGTGAGTATGGAGGTGCTGTCCAGGTAGTCATTAAATGTATGCATGAGGGAATGCATATAAATGACCTAAAGGGGAGACGGAGCTGGGGGGAAAAAAGGATTTCAAGGACAAGATAAAACCAAATTGCAAACTAGAAACCCACAGGAGATAGAAAAACAAGGAGCCCAAACCCTAGCAATAGTGGCATTATTACCAGAAACAACTGGTGAGAGCCCCTTTGAAGTACTAGTGAAATAGGAATGAGACAGGAAAAACATGCCCAACGGGGAAATTTAGTCCAGAAACCCAGGCAAAGGGAAACCAAACCTGTGCAATACGATGAAATTGGGTATCTGCAGGCACAGGTATCGGGAAAAAAACGAGGGGACTGAACTATGACCACCCTAGAAAAATCCCATGCCCATTGACAACAGGAAATGCAAACTCATTTCCTGTAAGCTTTTTCCCCCTGAAATGTGTCCCTCTTCAGTAGGGGAAAGATTGTGCTAAAATTTAAATTGCCAGGCACCCCATCTAAAGGGACAAAATGATAAAAAAATCCAGACCAGGGGAAAAACCCTGGGTACCCACAGCCCTAAAAGGGGGGGGTTTTTTGCCGGAAGGAAAAAAAAAACTGGCGGGAAAATGGGGGGAAATCGTCCCAAATCCAGTCTTTCTGGAGGGAACCACATCATGGCCCACCCCTCAAAACCAACAGATACAGATATAGTGCTGGAAAAAAAAAAATCCCCCCCCGTACCCCTAAACCACCATTCCGATGACATTCTTCTTTTCAAATAAACAAGGCTAAAGCCAGCAACGAACAACAAAATACCTTTCTCCCGGGGGCTGCTTGCAGGGCAAATGCAATGTTCCGGCTTTCACAGAACCCACAAAAGGTCATTGGACAAAACAAAATATGGATTCCGATTTAAAACCCTTTCAGATGTGACGAGTGAACAGGGAAAAGGGGGGAGGGGGGTTGGCCCTTTTACGCAGGTCACTTTTTTTGACAGAACTGTTAATGCCCAAATGATTATGGAAGTTTTAGCAGAAAATCGAGAACCAAAAAACCCAGTCATTTTGGTAGTCTAAAGCCCCTGGGTGCAACGCCCAACAATTCCAGAACAGCTGTCAAAATTGACCATGTCGGAAAATCTGCGTCCCGCCCCCAAAATCTTGCTCCTAGGGGATCTCAACTTGAGGCACCTAAAATGGAGGAATATAGCAATAATGTTGTTGCAGTGTAAAAACCAGGAGGCAGCTCTGTTAGAACTCACACACACCACACACACACACACACACACAACACACACCCCACCACACACACACCCCAAAAACCGAGCTTTTAAAACTCTGCACAAAATTTAAGTAAACCGCAAATAAAAGAGCCTACTAGATGGGGAAAACACTAGGGCCTCATTTCAAACAATGATGACCCGATACGAAAAATCACCCTACAAAAACAATAACGTGGACCCCCACCATAGGATGGCATCCCTTACGTTAAATCCACCATACATCATTTTAACGCAAAAATTTTGCCCCACCTCCCCCGAAACATCGAGTGTGCCTCACTGCCCGTGGGGTGCCAGTGTTTACAAGCCCGCCATGCGGTCGCACCATGCATACAAACGGGAAAATTTGTATTATCACAGCGTTTTTTTGTGTTGTACAAACAAAATAAGTCACCATGGGCCCCAAGAAAGTTCTAGTGCCCAACCGGGGTAAAAAAGATGAAAATTACTGTGGGAAAAGAAAAAGAATAATTTCAAAATATAAAAGTGGAGTGTTCAGAGCTGGCCAGGTTGTTACAAACCCCCAATCAACCATCGCTATTTTGTGGCCAAAAAAAAGCAATCAAGGAAGTTGTTCTTGCAAAAGGTGCAAGTTTGTTTTCGAAACAGAGATGTAAGTACTCGAAGATGTTCAGAGATGTTATGGTGTGGATAAAAGAAAAACAGATAGCAGGAGAACCATTTCAAGCGATATATGAAAAAGGGTGGGGAAAAACGTATATCGTCCTGGTCAGCTGCTGGGACCACGGTCAGGCTTGCTGCTGCACCCTAGTCAGCTGTGCTGCCCAGGTCAGTGCGCACACCATGGTCAGCTGCTGTGCCCCCATGGTCACTGCTGCTGCCCTGGTCAGGCTTTCTGCACCTGGTCAGCGTTGTCTGCACCCTAGTCAGCTGCTGTGCA